ATTACACACTGAACAACACGAAAAAGACTGAAAGCTGCGATGCAAAGGCAGTAAGTGGACCCCTGATGTTTGTGAAGAATGACCCTCCACCGCCCAGCTGATCCAGATGTTTAATGAGCTCCTGCAGCAGACAACACATCTGTTTACATCGGTGAGGAAATCTAACAGGAAGCTGCAACACTTGGTTGACTGACAGGAAATTCATCTGTTGGCAACTGATTCATCAGTGAAATCATTTAGTTGCTTTTCTGTTGTGTTCGACAGGACACTTCGAACGTTTGGACACGTCTCCTTGGACTTTAGGAAAACTGATTCCAAATGATTAATCAATCTTAAAAATAAATGGAGGCTGCACCACTGATTAACAGAATTATCTTCACTCAGCCTCTGCGTACTTTAACCTGCTGCTTTCACATGAATGCGACCTGAGGAGATCTCTGCTGAGATGCAGCTGAAAGCTAGAGGAAAAGCCAGTAAGTGGCTCTTTAGTGAAGATGTCTCTCTGAAGCAGAAAATCATAATGTGATTGCTGATAAAAGACCAACATAGTGATGGAAGATGCAGGTGAGACCGAAAAGGCAGCAGCTCAGCCCAGAACAGACCTGGGATCATTTTCACCCACAAACCCTGTTGAACAGGTGTGTGGTGTCAGTAGATCTTCATGGAGGCTTCGAACAGCTGGGACAGGTCGTCCTCGGTGTGCTGGCGGGGACACAGCCGGGTCACTCGCTCCTGGACAGTTCAGTGGAAAAAACTTTCATCACAAACTGCTCCTACTACTCCAGTCAAGTTTCTTTTACCCCGTAAGTCCTGAACTCTGCAGATAATCTATTAAACACCTTGAATAGTTCAGTTTACAACTAAGGTAACATTTAAGGGTGCTTTTAAGACTTTTGTAATCCCTTACAAACCTCTTTAACTGTGCTAATTAACTATAAGCATTAATTAACCTCTGAAATTTTACCTTAGAAAATAAGAACCTGCCTCTCAAGTTATTGTCACATTACAGGTTTTTCACTTCTCAAAGATCTTAAGCAGGTGGAAGTCAACAGGTTGTCTGATGTTTTCCTGGTTTAAAACGTTTCTACTAAAAAAAATCATAAACATGTTAACATCCATTTATCCACTAGGGGGCTCTAACATACCTGAGGGATAGTTCCCTTCACCAGGGCAGGGATGTCGTCTCTACTGTATCCCACAGCTCCCAGTCCATCCTCCACCTGCAGGTCAAATAGGAGACGGCGCAGCGTGTCGGCCAGGACAGCACCGGCATCCTCCCTCTTCACCTGCCGGATATCTGCACCTGAATGTGTTTTTACGGTGCTATTACAATCCTGTAACACTGTGCTGTGTTTTCGCATTGTACTGTATGAGTTTGTCGTATTACACCTAACCAGTGTATTTCACAGTGCTGTGAGGTGATGTGCGGTGAACACGTACCCAGGATCTCTGCAGCCTCCAGGTGGCGCTCTGGACACATGGGGGCGGTGAAGCTGAACACGGCCGGAGACGTGAGGACAACTGAGAGGCCGTGAGGCTGAGAACAAACAACTAATCAGGATTTATCACGTTTACTGTTCATAAACCTGACATCATCTGGCCAGTAGGACCAGTACATACACAGACATACTAACTGGTTTATTTACATATAATTAGAGGGATTTAAAATTTGCGTTGCTGCTAATTTCTGTGATTAACTACATTAACGCTGCAGAGTCTCCCAGTAAACTCAGAGGTGATAAAGAAAACACGGGACTAACTGTAAACCAGCTGTGATAAAGTGAACACATCAGCCACATCCTCGGTCAGACTGTGTTTGTATGTTTAAAAGTAAAAAAGGCTGTACATACAAAGTTTAATGAGGATATTTTAAATTATGATCAGGACCCATGGCACCACTGTGAGCTACTGTGTGGCATTCACTCACCACCAGGGGGTGCTGCACACTGTAACCCTTGGCTGAGTGAGTCTTCACGTTACCGGAGATCGGGTACGACATCCCGTGGCTGAACAGACAAAACCCTTTCATTATCGGGCTGCACACAGACAATACCCACACTTGCTTTGCTATAAGGCTACACTGTGCCTCCCTTCGCCGTTTTCTTGGGATTACAGTAATAATCATAACAGTACTGCTTCTGTTGGCGTGTCAGCAGAAATATGACAGTACTGTAACATATGTTCTAGTTTTCTGCAGGTTTTACCACAAAACCATGTTCAACTGTGACACAGCAACAGGCAAACAATTAGTCTATAACCATTTTTAAGGTGTTTTCAAATGAAGTATCTGCACAGCTTCAGAAGGTGTGAAGGTGTTAACTAAAACCCTTAAAATGAAGACCAGAACATCCAAGGCTTGTGTTTCTCACCACAGATGGACTCCAGCATTTCCGAAGCCGATCCCGGCGAACACGCTGGCCAGGTGCATGCTGGACCGTGCCTCCAGGTCCTCAGGGTCCCGCACCGCTCTGTGATCAACCAATCAATCAATCACTTAGAAACCTTGTTAATAAGAATCCTGTTCATAACACTGAGGTTTCTGTTCTGTAATGTTAAAACTAATTCTCTAATTCACGTTGTCTGTACGGCAGATCAAAAAACTGAGTTTCATCTTCAATGCTAATATTTAATTTAGTTTGTTAGTTTTATTGTACTTTTAATTATTATTACAGGGTATTTTCATAATTCTATGTTTAATAATGCTTCTAACAGAAATCAGAGCACACAGGATTATTGGGTTATTACATCTTAAACCCAACTCGGATGCCGACAGTCAACAACCTGTCAGGGAAACTTTATTCTCCTTCAGAGAAGCTTTGCTTAGCACCAGGTAAACTTTTCTTACCGCTTTATGTACTTGGCGACAATGTGGAGGGCGTGGCGGGACCACACATCGCTGATGGGGTTGCTGCCCTGGTAGGCGGGGCGGTCGATGGGGTTGGGGGGGCAGGGCGTCCTCTGGTTGTAGGGTAGGGCGGTGTAGGACTCCAGGGCGTGACTGAAGGAAACAAACAGGAAGTCGGTCCACGCTCCGATTCAAGAGTCCTGCCTCCAGGCTGTGTTACCATGGTAACAACTAATGATTCAGGAAGTCCTCTCCGTTAACCTGCTCTTCATTTATTAAAAGACCTGAGAGCTGGAGGTGCTTTCAGGGACACTGATAAACCCTGATAATTACGATTAGGGTTGCAACGGTATTACACAGTTACCATTATCAGGAACAATGAGCCTTGAAGGCACAGAAACAGAAAGGTTCATCTTTGGGTGAAGAAACAATGACTGACAGTTGAGCTGGAACTTTGCAGAGGCAGCCTGGGCCTAAAGAATCAACAGGATCATAAACATTAGTTTAAAGGAAATTAACATGTTATATTCACATGATTCTTGTTTCCAGACTTGAATTGTGTTGTGTTACAGAAGGTACAGCGGTTAAACCAGTTTCTGACTAATAGGTTTCTCCTCCTCCTCTTCAGCCGTTGGGTGGCCTCAGGGGTCTGTTCTTGGCCCTGTAAAAAAGACTGTTCTATTTAGCCTCTTTAACAGGCCCCATTCTTTTCTTTAGGGTCTATCTTAACATCTCTTCACTGCTTTGCAGATGACACTCAAATCAAACTGCCACTGACTCTATAAAGTCTTTACTGGCTTGTCAGGAGGACATTAAAGTCTAGACGTCTTTGAACGTCCCTCAAATGCATATGATATCTGGAGGAAAGGAGATGTGCACGCACTGTATTTTTCTTTCATACCGTTGATAAGTGCATGTGCGTCCTAGACATGCATTTTCACACCAATATACCACCACAGTCCTACTTCTGATATAAACAATCCATTAAATTTTAAGCAAGTAAAAACTAAATAATACAGATAAACATTAGAGATGAGTGCAGTTCGAACCGGCAGAGCTTCAGTCCTGACAACTGTATCCGGATTTAATCAGTTATTGATCAGTGCGGTACATATTACTTCTGGAAAATGACAAACTGACCAGAGCACGTCGAAGCCGCTGTTGGCAGCCACCCTCTCGGGCATGCTCAGTGTGTGCGTCGGGTCCACGATGCCTAGCGTGGGTCTGATGGCTCTGCTGGCAATACCTGCACACAGACAGCCAATCACAGCTCGGACTGACCCTCTGCCGTCTTCTCTTACACACAGCTTCACTCATGACCTCCTGTCTGTTTGATACTAGAAGTGTTAGTCACCGCTGGTCTCAAGTCACGTCCTCCATATTTCCCTGCTGTCGTGATGAATTCAGTACAACATTCGTTTCTACAAACTGTACGACTGCAGAGTCACATCATATTTACCACTGTGTGAAAAACACACAACACTGTTTTGTTGACTTATAAATCTGGTCAGCAGCTCAGTCTGTCACATCCTCCAGGCTCTTAATGGACTGGAGTTAGTAAGTGAATACCAACGCATTGCATTTACACAACACTAATACAAAGTATTTTCAGCAGAGACAACTGAAAAGCAGACGCATCAAAGTATCCAAAGTCAGAAAAAACATGAAGGAGTCCTCTCTGCAAGTCAACCCTACTGGACTGTGATTGTAACAACACCCATTCAAACTGTGTTTTTAGCTTCATATTCACCTGTTTTGGCTTTCAGAGGCTCAAAGTCGAAGATGGCGACTCCGGTGGTCTCACTGCCGGTGCCTGCAGTCGTAGGAACTGGACAAAAAACACACAAGTAAACAAACATTAACAATAAACAAAGCTGCTCATCTTCAGAAAAAAACATTAAAAGAAACTTAAAATCCTAACACCTGTAACCATGGTGACTGTGCACAACAAAGATGGGACAGCTGTGCCTGACTCCGCCTCCTCACAGCTGACCATCCAATCAGTGGTTACCATGGTAACCTGACGGCTTCCTGTTACCTGCGATGAGCGGCTTCAGCACTCTGGTGATCGGCTTCCCTTTACCAATCGGAGCATTGACAAAGTCCAGGAAGTCGGCGTCAGGGTGCCACGCATACAGGTTGGCAGCTTTACAGGTGGCAATCACAGAGCCGCCGATATTCACCTGTTTTGGCTTTCAGAGGCTCAAAGTCGAAGATGGCGACTCCGGTGGTCTCACTGCCGGTGCCTGCAGTCGTAGGAACTGGACAAAAAACACACAAGTAAACAAACATTAACAATAAACAAAGCTGCTCATCTTCAGAAAAAAACATTAAAAGAAACTTAAAATCCTAACACCTGTAACCATGGTGACTGTGCACAACAAAGATGGGACAGCTGTGCCTGACTCCGCCTCCTCACAGCTGACCATCCAATCAGTGGTTACCATGGTAACCTGACGGCTTCCTGTTACCTGCGATGAGCGGCTTCAGCACTCTGGTGATCGGCTTCCCTTTACCAATCGGAGCATTGACAAAGTCCAGGAAGTCGGCGTCAGGGTGACACGCATACAGGTTGGCAGCTTTACAGGTGTCAATCACAGAGCCGCCGCCCACCGCCACAAACACATCAAAGGAGTTGCTCTTAGCAAACAAGATGGCCTCTTTGAAACTAGAACACAGAAACAAAGACATTTATGTAGCTGTGAGGACGCTGTCGTGACTCCACTGGAGCACCTGGCGTTCTTACGATGTAAACAACATCTGCCTACGGCCACACTGGGGACCATCGTAACACAAGCTGCTGTTCACCTCACCACAAGTGTTCTATGAACTTTAACCCTTATCTGAATTCTTAATGAATCAGCAAAGTTTGTCCTCAGAGTCACACACGGGCAGGAGATCAATACCTCTCTGCACCTGATTGGCCATTTGTTAAGTTTAAGTTTGCTCAGAGAGAGCGTTTTTCCTTGAAGAACCTCTTCAGTGCTGAACACAACAGCCAGTAACAGGCAGACAATGTTCCAACATGTCTACTGTGTGCTTGACTGCTAATTATCATACAGGCCCAATAGGAAACTGCAGCACCTCAACACTTTAACACAAAGCTTTTATCTCTCTTCTGGGACATTCAGCCATTTTAAGGAGGCATTTCCATGACTGACATGAGGCTTCACAAACTGACCCAGGAACAGGTGTGAACCTACAGTCAGAGGTGGGACCAGACACGGGTGAAGACCAGGTTCAAACACACAGAGACCAAACACACTTTGTGTCCTGCTGAAAGACAATAACACACTGTGACTTATCATCACCGAGGACACCTGTGATGCCTTAGTCATCTCTACACCTGACAACCAATCAGATGATCCGTGTGTCTCGCCTGGTGTCGGTGGGCTCCACCCGGACGCTATCATAGACTTTGTACTCGACTCCAGCCTTGGTCAGAGAATCCAGGACAGACTTCACCGGGGGGAGTCGGGACAGGTTCTTGTCCGTCATCACACAGACGTTCCAGGCTCCAAGATTCTGAAGGTCCTGCGGGAGAACCAGGGAACCTCATTTACACTTCCAAAGAATCTGGAGCTGCAACATGAAATAGACAAGCTGAGGATGCTTTTCATTTTGTTGTCAGATTATAGTCACAGGACAGACTGGCCACCTGTCCAGGTGTGCCCTGCATCTCGCCCAGTGTGGGCTGGGATCAAAATTTAACAAGAGAATTTAAAACTTTTTTTTAATTAGCATTCAGCGTTGCCTGCTCTTCACCTAAAAACTAACGGGAGCTTGTGAGCCTGTGTGGAGCTAGTTGGGAAGCTGCTGCTAAAACTGTCCAGGAAAAGCACAACAACCTGCTCCAGCTAAAAGTAAAAACAGTAAATTCAGGACATATTTGGACAGTGACGTGCTGTGCCCCTCAGAATCACTATATTGAGACAGTTTCATGTCAGCAAATGACAGAAATTCATGAGTGAAGGTGTCCAAAGCTGAACTCTGAGTAATTCATCTGCATGGACTCAGTTCACCTCAGAGAGTGAATCACTGATTTAAGTGAAAACTACCGATTTCCATCAGATATGTTGACTGATTCTGATGCGCTGAATGGTTTCACTAGGAACAGTGTGTACCAACGGTGATGACGTTTACCAAGCCAATCTCTCGGCTGACTCCTTGTCCATATCTGATGTTGGAGCTTGCCATCTGACAAACACACAAACCAACCGGTCTGTGTTACTGACACACACACAACAGGACAACATGTACGAAAACTGTCTTAACAAGTCAACAAACATTTAATACAGATCAATCATAAACTTCTTTGTTTCCCATTTGTTTTCACAAATACCTAATTAGTCAAAAGGTTGTTAGATGTTTCCCCTTAAATAGGCATTTGGAACCAAAACCAGAAGATGTTTAAAAGCATACAACTCTTTCCTTTTTAAATAAAACTGAAATTATAGTGCAAAACATTCAAACACATAAAACCAAAAATATTTCAGGTATTTGTACTGTTAGTACAATATTTGTACTAATAAGTTACAAATAGTTATATTTGTAACTTATTAATTTCAACTTGGACTATTTTAACTTTTCACTGTGAACATTTTGCCCCAGTTCTCAAGAATAAATAACTTGGGTTGTACCTTAAACTCAATTATTTAAATTTGAGACAAGAGTGTTTATAGAACATCTGTGACAATTTGCAGTGAACAAATAACCTGAATTTGAACTGACATGCTGTTAAAATTGCTATTTTTTAAATACAGTTTAGTGGACGTTACCTCAAAGGCGTAGTCTGTTTTCTGGACGATGCATGTTGCAGCTCCACCTGCAGAACAAACTCGGTTAACTATATCTGAAAATATTTGTGTTGATCACTGATCAATCAATAAGGGATATCTAGTTAATATTAAGGAGAATGTAAACGTCTTATGAGACGTGGTGATTAATAATCTCTATTGTATTAAATTTGCTCAGAGCAGAACATGTGAACGGAGCAGGGGGATTTAGGCAGAGTGGCTTTTTTAAAAGGGACGGAGTGTCGCCCTATGTCCCGCTCCAATGCTGCTCACACCACAAGCCTGAAGCACGCACGAGGCCAACCCAGAATGCACCAACCAAAAGGTCATACAGGTGTACTGTATAATTTTATTTAATTTGGCCTGTTGATTCTATGAATTTTACATATGATTTTGTGTTATACTCCTTCTTACACAGACCTAACTGTAATTTGAAATAAATCATTTCTATTTGGAAAAAGCTAGTGACTGTTCTTTAGTCCTTTGGGATGTAAGGCTACGGTTTAAGCTAAAATTTAAATACATGCAGATGTTTTTTGTAGTGAGTGGGTGTGAATTTTGTGGTGGAGGATGCAATCCGGGCAAGGAGGAGAAACTCTCATCCCTCTGCTCCGCTCATATGCTCTGGTTCAGAGACACCACACTCCTTCAGCAGAATTTAAACGCTATTACCTTGGTGGAAGGTGCTGGAGTGAGCGGGACACCTGCACCTGTTCACACACAGCACAACAGCACACATTATAGCTTCAGCCATCCCAGTGCAAAGCAGCAGTCTAAGCCACACATGGCTAGAAAACCACAGAACCTGCAGAGCACAGGGCCTGTGCCACTGTAGTGACAAGCTTCTAGTCTGAAAGTCACAGAGCTCAGTTAAAAGAAAAAAGTGACAAAACAACCTTACAAAGGTGAAAGATGGCAGAGATGCAAAGTGCAGACAGAAAAACTAAACTTTAAAGACAATGCACACAAAACAACTACAAACATCTGGAGATTCGATGTAGGGGGGTGGGGGGCCTTTAACCTGTCTGTGCCCAGCGGCCAATTGTCTCATAATCCGTCCCTGGAGCGACACTTTGTGAAAACCCCGCTTTAAAGTAGAAATAAATTCTTCCCAGTGTGTCACATGTACGCCGAGTTTTCAGAGACACTGTCCTAATTCAAAGTTCGTCTTCATCTGAGAAATGTGCTCACTAGCACCTGACCTCTGACCAAAACAGTTTAAATGGTCAGATTTTGGAATGGAGTTCGGCAGGACCCTCTTAAATCAACAAAGAATAACAACAATGTCGGGTCCGACGTCACCGCAGGTTGTTTACCTATATTCTCCCTCGCTCGGACTTCGTCTCAAATTAAATCGGATTTGCACTGAACTCAAGTCAAACTTACGACGCACGCTGGAGCTGCCTGAGAAGGTCAACGACCCGTTCCCGCCCCGCCATGACCGCACCAAGTTGTAGGTGAGGCAGACGTCAAGCCAGCTGGGCACTGCTTCCGTCTGCACCTTTCAAAAGAAATGTAACACGCTCAAACTGAACCATTTCATATCTGACCCTAAATTTAATTGTTTCTTCGATTAATAATGACGCGATTAAAGCGTTTTACTAAGAATTTAACATTATAAATGCATTTCAATTAACTAATTTACCCGTTTGGAGTGAATTTACTCCTTATTTAAAATAATTTAGGTCCTATTTTGTACATTTTAAAATTTCTTAAAATATTTGCAAATTTTAAGGATTCCCGTCCCCTTTAAAAACTAAAATATTTTAATAATGCAACGTCAGTTGGGCTAGAAGAAGCAGCGGTATGGAAGCAAAACGGCATCATAATGATTTGAATTTATATCAGCATCTGAATAATAGGTTTTGAAATGTTATACTTTGAATTCTATTCTGAATTAATGCACTCTGAATTTTACGCAGTGAAATTACAAGTAGAGATTTTCAAGTTAGAAAAATACATAATTTCGATTTCAAACCACACCAATATTATTAAAATAATTCAAATATAAAAATGTACATGTCTAATTTTCAAAAAATATATTCAATGCGTTTATTTTAAGAAGCACTATTCAGAACCAGAAAGTTCAACCAACTCATAATTCAGACTGTGACATTTAGGTGCAGAAATTCAAGTGCAGAAATTCAAAACAACATCTGGGACACTGGGCAGTAGCAATCGAGCGACGATGCCATCGATCGGATCCCTGGCCAATCGGGTAAACACAGGTCAGTCATGTGACCCTAGAGGTGGAAGTTTCCTGTAGTGCTGTGGCGCGAATGAACAACAAA